TTCTTGTGTAGAAATTTAATTGTTATTCACGTAGATTTTGACCACGCCTCCTTCAAAATTCTGTTAATTAAACATAGAAGTTCAACAAGTGAAACCTGTTTCATATCACTTTCTCAGTAGTGTAAACAATGATACTGGGAGAAGAACCAAATTGTTTTTTAACATTCTGATGAAAGTATACAAGTATATTGAAAACTGAGTTATCTGGAAAGGTTATGATTGAGTATCTTAATCAGTAATAAATTGTTTATTAAAGGAAATAGAAATTAATGTGCACTTAGGGGCCATCCATAAATTATGTAATGCAAATTTGGAGTATTTTGAATATCCCCTCTCCCCCTTGTAACACACCTGTACGGCATGCTTGAATCTTCCTCTGATAATTACGCAACACTTATGACAAGAACCCATCCAACTACAATACACAAAAACAATAACAGAACCGATCATATTAATAGTATTTGTGTTAGACATTAAAATTTAAAATAATTTATATTAAAAATAGTTAGTGGTGCAGACTACACATAACAATGAGATTGAGGACAATTTGTGAATGAAGGACGCATAAGCGAGAAAATTTCTTACAAGCCGTGGACACCCATTGTGATGATGCATGGACCTCGACTCGACTGTGCTCATTTAATTGGATTCTAGAATACACTGTAGATCAGTTTTGAGTGTTTCCTTCGTAATCTAACAGATTCAATCAATACATCATTGGTGAAAAAATAGTAATCTTTATCATAATGATTTATATATGATAATTTTAATTTATTATGTTCTTAATTTAATTTGTTAATATGTCAATGTTTTAACATTAGACTGAATAAAAGGAATTTTTTCAGCAAATGTTGAAAATGTTTAAAGAGAAAAATTAGCATTACCTAACACTAAACTATAACTCCCCTTACCCCTACGCAACACAGTGTAACTCTGCTTCAACCCTCCTCTCCCTCCTTAGTGTTACGTAATTTATGGACGACACCTTGGGGCTTATTAAATATAAGACACATTGCTCAACGTATACTACATAGGTTTATCTTAAAACCTTTCTCTGGGTCTAAATTATGCTCCCAAACAAGAAATTTCAGTCAAAGAATTGACAAGTTTAGATGTTAGAACTGAAGTGGCTCCGTTTTGTAGATAAAAATTTATATATGTCAACTCTAGTAGAATGCTAAAAAATTCTGTCTGATGAATTATTGCACCTGAAAATAGTACTTCCAGCCCATCAATTCTAAACTTAATTAAGAAAGCCAAAGATAATAATTTAATGGTATGGAAACACTTGTGTTATTAGGCATCAAATGGAATATTTGAATAAAGTGGAGTCATTCCTAAGAAAACCTTGTCTTGTGTGAATAAGAATCCCATCTATCATATAATAATTTGGTCAAGATTGCTATTATGTCCAACAATTTAATTAATAGGTACAAACTAGATCCTTAATAGTTATGAATCCCCATTATATGGGTAAATTAAGTTACTCAAAGAAAATCATCCCATTATGCCAGACGTTAGTTTCAGCAACTCTAGGATTTCCCCACTTTGCAAATTTGTCATCCCTGTTTTGAAGAATATGACTAGCTTCAACCCAAAATACAGATTATTCTAATTCTTATGAGTTTGAAACAAATTGATAAAATCAAAGACATCAATATGCCTGCCAATGCAAAACTGATATCATTTGCTGTCACCAACATGTACACGAACGTTCCTCATTGTGAAGTTAAAGATATTTATACTAGCCATTATAGAGTAAGTATATTAAATTAAAATATACGTATATTATATAATATATATATTATAATATATATTATTATAATATATATTATTATAATATATATTATTATAATAATATATATTATAAGTTTTCTAAAACTCAATACCATGAAAAAATAGATTTAATAAACCTTCTTAATGTATGCATTGGATACAATTTTTTTTAAATTCAACAAAAAATTTTATAAACACACCCAAGGGTTTACAATGGGCTCAAACCTTTCCCCTCTTTCTGCTGAAATGTTAATTGATAATTTTGAAAATTCACTATTTAATACCCTCAATCCCTTACTCAAGGACATAATCAATTATTATCGTTATGCAGATGACATTTTTGTCTATGGAGTGGTACCTTCAGACAACTAGATAAGTTATTAGATGTTTTAAACACACACTACATTCAAAAATTAAACTTAAAATGGAACTTGAACAGAACAATACATTAAACTTCTTGGATCTAACTATTACAATTTCTAACAATAAAAACAAGTTTAACATTTTTAGGAAACCTACACAAACTGACCTAATCATTCCAAATAGTTCAAATCACATTCACAACCATAAATTACATGCTTTCCACTCTTGGGTCCATCGCCTTTTAAAAATTCACATGGAAAAATCAGACTATGTAAATGAAATAAGCATAATTAAATCCATAGCTGTTCAGTATGAGTATGATCCACAGATCATAGATAAAATTATCAAACAAAAAGAAAAGAAAATTTTAATTGAAAAAAATATTGCCTCAAAATTTAATTGACAGTGGCAAAACAACTTATGTCTGCATTCCTTCTTTTGGTTCTGTAAATCTAAGGATAGGTCGTTGCCTCAAAAAACAAAACAAGTGTCATACAAGACTACCAATAAATTAAAAAATCTATTCCCCAACATCAAAGGTACTGTACCCAAAAAAGAAAAAAGTAGTGTATATGAACTAAATTTTAAGGATTGCAATGAGCAAATGAGCAAACTTATTTGAAATACAGCCTCCTGCTAAGTATCCTGGTTGACTGTACTCCCCCTCCTCTGGAGGACAACGCACACAATGGCACTGAGTGAAAAACCACGGTGTACCACGAATCATGATACTATGTTACTTGGGTAAATAGTATTGTTTTCTAAGTTTTTAATAGTGTTTGTGTTCTTTATTAGTTTTACAATTTTATATTTTAAAGTTGTTTTTTAAGTTTTCCCTAATATCCTGTAGAGACACTGAAGATGAGGTAAAATACCTCAAAACATGTTTGTCTGCTTAATGCTGAAAGTGACTAATAGATAGTTAAAAAATTTTGTTTGTGGAAGATTATTTCTTTTACCTCCCATTGTATTAAAATTATCTTAAATCAATTATTGTTGTATTGGTGCATTAAATACCACCTTCAGAAACTTCACTTTACCAAGAAACGATAGTGAAAATTGATTAGCCTGTCACATTATATACGTTATTTTGGTTTCACAATATTTGGTTTTGTTTGTCAAATTTTGGTTTCCATTTCAATATATTAAACACTTTTGCTTAGATATTTATGATACCGTATGCGTAATGAAATCTCTTACTGTGATATGAACTATTCCATAAATTATTCACAAGATTTTATGATGCTGCTAACAAGTACTAAATTTATGTGTACTTACATTTATTTTGAAAGAAGTTATTTAACTGAATGCATTTTGTCATCTTGAAAGTAAATTCTCCAACATTTGCAAGTTTTATTTTATACAAAACTTAAAGCACAATAGAATGTGATCACTACACGAATTATAGTGGTCTATCTGGGATCACTAGTTAATTTAAAAAATATGAATAATGAAAAATTTTTAGGTTTATAATTTAGGTACATCATAGTTTCAAATAGCATGATAGCAAACATTATACCACTTCAAATTCCAATATGCATAATGCACTATTAGGCCTGTGTCACATGAGCCTTGCGTTGATGCGCATCACCTAATACTGATGACGTCAGGTGCGTCAATGCCTGTGCAGACAAGTCACTTGATGTGCGACGTACATTAATTCTGTATCTTATGCTAAAGGTACAAGAGTGCTCTTGGCAATGTGCATTGTTGCCAATGCATTATCTTAACTTAAGTTGTACCTTAAGCATCTTGCTTGAGCTGTCAGTGCAATGCATGTCGCCAAGAGTGCCCGTGAACCATTTCGAATAAGATACAGGATTAATCTACGATGCGCGATAAACAACTCATGTGCACAGGCAGAGATGCACTGACGCGTTAACAGCATTAATTGATGAGTGTCAATGCAATGCTCATGTGATGTAGGCCTTGTGGAACAAATTTAGACCACTGAATCAATTAATACTACCAGGAATTCATAAAAAAGAACACTTTTCAAAATCCTACACACCTAAGTTTTTATAGTTTGTAGCATTATAACATTTCTAGTACTGCTGTTTCTCCTACACAAGTTGGTAATTTGAAAATTAGATATCATTGATTAGGTGCTGCTGAATGTAGAATGGTTTATATGGGGGCACGTCCTTTTGCATCAATGACCATAATGAGATCTTAGAGAAATCCAAGATTACAAAAAAACCTGTTCAATTGTTCATGGAAAATTGTTAAAAAATATTATTCCTACAATCTCCTAACAAATCTAAGCAATGCCACTGAGAAGTTTATTTTGACATAAAGTCGATATTTATTTCTACAGGTTCTAAATATGTAGACTTATGATGTCTTTTTCTAAACAATATTTAAGTTAAATATAATATCTTGCATTTCTCATGAAAATTTTACTAGTGCTACATGAAATGTAGCTACTTAAAACCTAATTCAGGACTTTCTCAATTTTCTTCCTAAGATGTTGGTTCTTTCATTTCATCAATTCTTCCACACATGATGAAAGATTTCACCAGATGAACTTTTCGTTTAAGTGAGTTGTTGACTTTGGCTTACTTTATAAAATTCGATATTTAAAAAAAATATATTTTATACGCTGATGTTTATAAAATATATGTAACTACTGGTAAATTATTTAAATTAATTGAATGAATAAAATAAGATCAATTGACTGCTCAATATGTGAGATCCAATTTAAAAAATCCTTGTGTTTCATCATATTTCAAAATTAACAAAATGTGAAAAATTACTCATTTATTGTTAGGGAATTATTTCACTAATATTCATTTATGAGTTTTGATTTCTATTATTCAACTAAAAGACAAGAGGTCAATGAAGTTGACAAAAACATTTCTGATTTTTAAAAAAATTTATTTTAAATCAACATCAAGATTTACAGATAGTTACAAACATTTTTAAAAGGTTTTGGAATATTATATTTTACACAACTTTAATGTTTGTGCTCTGAAATGAAGATAATGTCATTTTCCATTTTATTTTCATCATCCATCAGATATAAGATATATCACAAGACGATCGCTTCACTCAAATAAACTCTCCTACATCTAGTTTCATAAGTAGATGGCACAATGTCAGCTGGCCATTCTGCTTTTGGGATGCAAATTGCACCATTCGATCTGAGCTAGACGTGTTGCAGAGCACCGCTGCATGTCATGTCTATATTGAGCATGGTGGCAACAAACTGGAGCACATGAGTATTCAGAACAATGAGTTTTCTTTTTGAAGCATATACCAGTGTAAGACACCACCCTAGGATATGCAGACTTGACCTGGTGTCCTCAATTAACAGTTATCTCAGAAAATCTTGCTTGCTACTGTAGCATATGTCAACGAAGTGATTCAAGCTATTTTGAGCAATACCTATAATATATAGAGGCTCTTGATGTACATTGGAGTACATTGAAGTTTATCTATGTGGGTGAAGCGAATCTCCCTGAGTATTCCTACTCATATTTAGTATTAACAGTCTAGATTAAGCTAGGTTAAAGCTTCATTTAAAAAAAATCATATTTAATTTATAAAACCATACAAAATTACAAAGCATATTAAATACAATAAAACAATATATTTTTTAGTAAAAAACTGAAACACATTTGGTATGGATTTAGCAGATGAATATAGGCGTCCAAACATAACTCTTGCCATTTTGAATCCACGAACAACAAACTTACCAAATATTTCAAAGTTCATCAGACTAGATTATTTGAATATTCCTAATTATGGTGCCAGTGATTAAGTCTTATGATCATTGCTACCTGGAATGGGTGAATGATTGGAAGGAGAAGTAATTATAAGAAAAAGGTACGAAATGTGATGGAGCAACTGTGGAATGAAAGACAGCAAAACAAATGAATCTTGAAGAAATCTGCCGCAAACCCGCTTTGCATATCACAAATTCCACATGGATCAACAGGGATTTGAACCCCGACCCCAGCTTTGATTGGTGAGAGGTTTGGCACTATCCCATGGGTTCCCTGCGTCACACAGTGGATAGATAATGAAGTTTGAAATTAATTGAATTGAACGCATATGCACACACTTGTGTACCAATGTAACAAAGTAGAGCACAAGAAATAACTGCTGCCCATGTTGCTTTTGAAAACTTTAGTGGTTGTAAATTAGAACCAGATTAGTCGCTTGCTGCAAGGCAAGATTATGCTCCTATATTACTTTGCTAGTGAATGAACCGCCTGATAAAACATTGAGACAGGTCATGGAATCGAGAAGCCTCAAATTTCATCTAAGATAGAAATAACTGAGCCAAGCAAGTGCCTCACCAGCCCTTGCTTGAGAGCAGGGGTGCGGAAAGAAAGAGGTACCATACAACATTGAAAAAAACAACAGGTATATAACATACTGACAATGTGTCATTACAGGGTGTCCAGGGAAGAAACATTGACATTTTGAAAATAAGCTCTTGAGCATATTTTGTCTATTGGTATATTTCAAATGGTTGAGCCGCCATGAACACTAATAAGTTTGTTTGAAAAGTGTTTTCTAGACAAAAATTTGCTTTGCACAAGCATATAAACTCCAGAAACTTGTAAATTGTTTATTATTACTTTCAAAAGAAATAAATATATTCGCTCAGAAAAATAAATTAACCCAGAATAAAAGAGCAGGCGAGTTGTGTAAATAGGGTGCCTTTTTATTTCTGGATTCATTTTTCTTTCCGAAGAAATATATTCATTTCTTTTGTAAGTAAACAATTTACACGTTTCTGGCAAGATTGTGTCTGCAATAAAACTTTTTGCAGAGAAATTATTTTTTCAAATCAACTTTTGAGTGCTTATTGTGACTCAGCCATTCAGAATATCCACGGATTTTATTATACAAAGAGCTTATTTTAGAAGTTTCAATGTTTCCTCTTTGGAGATTTTGAATAATTACAAGCATACAAAGATAATAGGAACTCTCTGTAAAACTATGGGCAGACCCACCATGCTATGGAGTGCTCAAGAGAGCCACAGTTCTAAACACAAGCACAATAACCTTGTGCTTACACAGCGTAGCACATACTGGGACCTTCAAGGTACTAGTTACAACGTGATGATACTCTATTGTTATATTCATCGACAAATGTCTTCACAGACAAAATCGTTGTGAAGCGACGCCGATTTCGACAGCATTTGATGTGTGGGGTAGTAGTCCAAGCAGTCACCTTCCACACAGGGATTGTGGTCGGCCCACATCTACTCCAAGTGGAATTGGTGGCGGACAAAGAGGGTTTACAGTAGGCTTTCCAAGTCTCTCCTTTCACAAACTTCTCCATCTCCATGGTGATTACTCATATCATCAGTCATGTCATAATTTTAGCGTGCATTAAATAAATAAGTTAAATATTACACTTTCAGGGACACTACTAATAATAAACAATCTTGTTTATCATTGTACACATGGTGCTGCCTTTTGATCCAGGTAGACTGCGCACTGTACAAACTGTGTTTTGAAGACATATAAATTGATCAAACTTACTCATCTATAAAAACACAAAGTATTTAAAAGATATGCATCATATGATACTCCTAGTTACATAGTACCATTCAGGTTCAAAATTTAAAAGGTTTTTTTTACAACAAATAAATCTTCATCACAATGAAATTACTCATCTTTGGAATGCTCCTTTGTTATCTGATTCTCTAGCCTTAATATTAGTTTTCAGAGTTGGTGACTTAACATTTCCATTGGTTTTTTCATGTGAAGCAACTGCAACAAGCAAGAATTACACAACACTCAAACATGGAAATAATAAGCACTTCAAATTACTTTTCCTCTAATTCAATTTACTGTAATATTTAAGCATCTTATGATGATTGTGTCTACAAAAAACAGTCTGTAGGACACAAATGTAAGGTAGAGAGTAGTCTCAGGAATTGTAAGAATGTAGGCAGCTTAAGAGGAATAACCATTGGTGTTAACTCAAATCTTCAAGAAACAAAAATGCTAGATGGTTGACGTTACATTTGGATTAAAAAATGTAATTTCCAGAAAGAACACTGAGAGGTCGAATATTTCAGTTAAAATTATCTCTCAATCAATTGAAGTTTCAGATGCAAGTTTTATTGCAAGGCAAGCCAAACATTTGAAGAATAAAATTTTAAAAAAATTTAAGTTTAAAAAATTAGTAAAATCTAGAAAGAAAAAAAAAGACATTAAAGTTAAGTAATAAAATACAGTAAAGAGTGGATTTCAATAGTTAAAGAATTCTTGGTAAGGATTGTTCTTACACAAAAGTAAGATTTAAAATGAACTTTGAAAACCTACACATGCTCTTATCAGCATATTTGAAAAGTTTCATATAAGGACCTACTAGTAAAAATCAAACTAAATTTGCCTCTTAAAACACATGTATTTGACTAACACAAAAAACGAAAGGTCATCTCTGCAAACAAAATCACTTCTGACACTTCAATACCATGACATACAATCACTTGCCCTAGGCGAGTGCTGTCTATGAGGGATTTGGACATCAAATGTGTACATTTCTTGTGCAGTATAAGACCATAAGCAGATGTTTGCTTTCTCGCCTCACTTCGTCAGAAGAGAAGATCTTGTAAACATGCGCTGGAAAATGGCAATTTTTCCACATAAAAACTCTTATTGTGGGCCTTGGTAATGCAAGAGGATAAAT